AATGGTAATTGATAAGCAAATGCATGATTACTGCTGCAATTATTTTGGAGAGTGATTTAAAAGGGTGTTTATTCATTTATTAACAATTGTAACATAAACATGGTATTTGCATTAATCAATCTCAACAGCTCATTTAAATTAAAAGCCAATATGTTATATGTTAATACGTAATTATTAAAAGAACGGCGACTCCCTAAATGAAACGCAACATATTATGAACTGTTACTTCCGTTACAATGTGCCACTTTTTGTGGATTTCTTTTTCTACGCAGGCGGTTCATCGGGCAGCCCTGCAGCTCTGAAGAGCACGTTGAACCCTCTGAAGGACCCTTTTCGGTTTCCGCCATCTAAGAGCTGGTGGTGAGTTACTGCTACGAACAAATAGTAACGAAATAAATGTGATTTTGCTCATATATTGCTTTAAAAACGTTCCATAAACATTCAACACTGTTTTATGCACAGGTGGATTGAGCATCAAGATGCAGATCTTCGTGAAAACCCTCACGGGTAAAACCATCACCCTCGAGGTGAGCCGCGCGACGCACTTCAACAATTCACGATCCGATTTACTGCGATGTTTGACGATTTGAATCGATTATTTCGATGATATTCACCTTAAACTCCATAAATATAAGTTTAGTGACGTAATAACGTAAAAAATGGTATTTTTTCAGTGGTTATAAGTAAGTCCTAAATAATGCTAGCATGTCGTGTGGCGCAGCTAATGTAACATGCACGCCGTAGACCTGAATGTTTATTATGCTATATTTTAGCGAAATAATACTAACATTAAAGTAGGCCGTTTTTACTTTATACCGGTAGTAGCTTATTGCTCCGCTAATTTACAGTTTTCGACGTTATATTTTGTATGCTATTTGCAGTGTAAGCATGCGTTAATTTAGCTTTTTAATATTGCTTACAGATAAAACCAACATCGAACATAAAAGCCATATTTAGGCTTAAAGCAATAATAAAGTAAGAAGTAAATAAATAACACTGTTTCTGTGGTGTGGCTCAGTGTTAATTTGCCCATCCACAATTTAAAGCTTTAAAAAGTGCTAAATCAGATTAAGTGTTTGGATCGGTACTAAAATTATATTGCCAACTGAACTCCACGTTTACCTTAAGTTCGCAAACAGTATACAGTTTTGTTTTGTTTGCAAATTCTAAATGGGGAAATTATAATAGCAGCCAATGACTATCAAAGTACGTTACAACATTGTTCACTGTCAAATAAATAGTGCTAATGTTGTTTTTAAGTAATTTAAATGCCATTTCAGACAAAATATTCAAATTAACAATCGATAAACAATCTAACGACTAATAAATAAACCAATGTGCAAATATAAAACCAACTTTACCTCAATAATTGTTCATTAAATGTTCTTTTGAATGTACCATCATTAACCCTGAAGAAATCTTCAAAACATAAGTGACATACTTGGACTTCTTAATTTGCCTGTGATTTGATTTGTGGAAACAATATTGTCAAGTGTTCTCTTATGTTTAATGTTTTCTGTAGGTTATAAGTGTTTTAAGTGAAGGTAATCTGACAAATCTAAACTGATATCAATGTTGTAGGTTGAGCCCTCTGATACTATTGAAAATGTCAAGGCAAAGATTCAAGACAAGGAAGGTAAGTTGTCAGCTGTGCTTAAAAAAAAAATTGTATTATCTTTCCTTCTTCTAATTTGTTGTTAAAACCCAAAAAATTTACATCTAAATGTACCTCCAAACGCAGGAATCCCTCCTGATCAGCAGAGGTTGATCTTCGCTGGTAAGCAGCTGGAGGATGGACGAACCCTGTCCGACTACAACATTCAGAAGGTCAGAAAGTCTAAATAAAACTACTGAAATCTAATTGTATAATTCACCTAAAATAGTCATTTATTGTAATGATTAGATTTTTTTTCTGCTGATTGTTGTAAAAGCTAATAGTTACTGGTCCTAATTGACTAAACATTGTATTTTTTAGATATTTTTCATATTTAAAGAGTTAAATATACTAAATAACTAATAATAAAACTAATATACCAAAACTAAACATTGTAATTTAATATTTTTTTTTCCTAAATGGTTTATCTTCTGTTAAACCGAAAAGATATCTTAAAGAAACATTAAAACAGGTAACTACTGACTTTCTTAGTGCTTTTATTTATATAAGTCAATGGTTAAAGGATTTTAGCTTTATCTGAAGTTTTATTTAAGGGACCATAAAGGTTAAAAACCACTTGAGGGTGAATAATCTTTGTGTGAACTGCCCCTTTAAGTCAAGCTTATTTATATAGCACATTTTATACACAATAGTAATTGAAAGTGCTTTACAGAAACGGGAATAATAGAGAAGTAAAAACAAAGAATAAAAATGATTAAAACAGATTAAAATGGTGTTAAAACTGATTTTAAAAGAATGAAAAGGAAAAGAAAAAAATAATAGTGCTACCTCTTGGATGCATTTGGACCGGCAATTGTTTTGGTTATCCACATTTTTGAAATGCAGTCGCAAACATTCAAAACAATCTTAAAGGTGACCATTTAGATTTGTGGTTAATCTACACCCGTTTAAGCCATAAGTGCTCAGGTTTTCTAATAATATAATTAAACTCATGCATCCCGACTTACTTAATTGCGTTCATTCATTTATCCAGGAGTCCACACTTCATCTGGTGCTGAGGCTGCGTGGTGGCGCAAAGAAGAGGAAGAAGAAGTCCTACACCACCCCCAAGAAGAACAAGCATAAGAGAAAGAAGGTCAAGCTCGCTGTGCTGAAATACTACAAGGTTTGTTACCTGTTAGTCTCAATTGTCTTTAGCAGCTCCAGGTTTTCAGGAGTTGATCTTTAAGTTGTTTCTCTTGATCTTTAGGTTGACGAGAATGGCAAGATCCACCGTCTGCGCCGCGAGTGCCCTGCAGATGAGTGCGGAGCCGGGGTGTTCATGGCCAGCCACTTCGACCGTCATTACTGCGGAAAGTGCTGTCTGACCTACTGCTTCAACAAACCAGAGGACAAGTAGAGTACAGTCCTGACCAACATGCTCTGTGTCACACATGAGGCTGTCTGTGCTGGAGTTTGTACTTTGTAAATAAAATTGTGGCTCGCCACATTCAAAAATCAACCTCTTGACTCATTATTGCTGCTTTGGGTTTTAATATGAAGTATCCAGACTACTACATATTAGTGATAAGTTATTAGTGATTAAGTCATTATGAAATATATTTTATGTAAATATAACTACATTTAATCGAGTTTGTAATAACTAAAGGGATAGTTTGTAATAATTAAAGGGATAGTTCACCCAAAATGGAAGTTGACTTCTAACATTTTAGTTTCCCGTAAACGACTTCTAAAGAAATCTGCAAACCTGTAACCATTGATTTCAATGATAGAAAAACAGTATGGAAATCAAAAGCAACAGGTTTTCACCATTTTTCAAAGTTTCTTCAGTGTTTAACACAGAAAAACTCGAAGCTTGTAATTTAGTATTAATTTGTGGTTTTTATTGTACATGTTTGGTGTACTTACCCAGGGAAATGGATAGTTATACCAGGTAATTGCGTGGTTAATGGGGTAGGTTTTAGTTACTTGACTGTTAATGTAATTACTGTCAGAACATAGTAACATGCGTATATGCAAATAGATGTATATGTGCATATTCGTAATGTACATGCAAAGCAGGACATTATAAAGTTAGCAGTCGTTGTGCTCACTTTTAGTTTTTAGGATGTTTTAGCTATTTTTTAGGTGGGATGCATTTAAGGTGAGGGATCTGTTCAGTGGTATGGGTAAGTAAACGGCTGACTATTTTAACAGCTGTATTTACCAGAATTAACTACAGACCTAATTATGTACATAATCATTGTGCAACACTGGACACTATTTTGACAACATTAAGTAGGTCAAACCTTGTAAAGTTTTTGAAGGAATTACTCAGGATTACAAAGGTAGTGTATTGTGACATTTAAAAATAAAATACATTACTCAAATTGCCATACTTCTGCTTAATACATTACATTTACTTTGAATTAATAAATCCTCCTTGCTGAATGTTTTTTTTTGTCTAACTTTGACTATATTTATTTATATATATATATATATATATATATATAAATATATTATGTGTGTGTGTGTATACACGCGCACACACACACACATAATATATATATATATATATATAAATACATATATGTATTTACAAATATATATGCACACAAGCAATATCAGACGAGTAGCAGTGCGATATGGCTGTATATCGGCACTGGTGGAAGGCGTACATGCCTAAGTGCCCCCACCAGTGCTGATATACAGCCATATTGCACTGCTACTCGTCTGATTTTGCGTTTATACAACAGTTTGACGGCATAATTGTGTATATAAAAACAAAATCAAACATGGAGAGTCTCAAAAACCCTTTTGTATGAGGAACTACTTTCTTCCGCGTTGGATTCAAATCATAAGCTGACAGTTAAACAGCCGAGCAAGCATCTTTTATCTAGAGTGTGCTTTTTGCTGTCTGTATATGGGCGGAGTAATACACAAAGGGTAAAGAGGCTGTATGGGTGCTGATATTACTTAACTATATCACGGCTATCAGCCAATTAGATTTGAGAACCAGACAGAACTGTATATATATATATATATATATATATATGTATATATATGTATATATACATATATATATATACACACACACACATACATATATATATATACACATACATATATATATACACACACACACACACACACACACACACACATATATATATATATATATATATATATATATATATATATATATATATGTGTGTGTGTGTGTGTGTGTGTGTGTGTGTGTGTAAGAAACAGCAGTATCAGCATCTGTTAAACTGCAATAATTTCTCACAATATTAGTTTTTGTATTCATGATCAAATAAATGCAGTCTTTGTTAGAGTAAGATACTTGTCTTGATGTATTGCTTCATGATCATATTTTCTCATGAAGAATTTCTGAACACAATTATTGTCTTCTCATTTTTTATTTACATTATGACATACATTATGTACAATTTAACTGAAGTTCAGTCCTAAAATGGAGAATCAAAATAAAGAAAATCAAATGTCATGGCTATACTCTTATGTTGGTTTGCTCTTAAGAAAATTTGTTATAGCTATTCCTCAGGTATGTATACTGGTTAATATAGTATACCAATGTGCCAGTTGCAGTTTTTTAAAATCCTGGATCCCAGGATATTTTCTGTTTCACCTCAGATTCACTGTAACAAACAATTGCATCCCCGGGTTTGTATTCTAGATCTTCATTATCTAGAGAAAGGCCACACTCCATGCCCGTCTTTACTGTCAGAACATCATCCTTCAGATGTTTCAGTGTCGTAACAGATCCTGGAGGAAACAAATGCATGGATTTTTGTTTTACAAGAGGCCACAAGAAAGCACAACAGTGGAAATATTCAGTACTGATCCATTAAGTTTACCATCCCAGATCATATCTCGTCCTCGAATAAGTCTGAATTTCATCTTTTTGTCCAGTTGGCCCTTCTGAACTCTGCATCCAGCCACTGCGAGCTTCTTTTTCCCAACCGTCACAGTGAATGTTGCCAGAACCGAAGCCTCGCCTGAAGTATGAGAGAACATTAAAGTGAAAAATGAATAGAAGAATAGTGGATCATACAGACAATTGGTGGCAATAAATCATCATCTACTTTGCATTTTGATAGTCATTTTAAGAATTCACTTCGTCTTAATTCTATTAGGGCTGCAAAATATATTGAAAGATTATAGTCCACATCAGGTGGAAACGTTGGCCACTTCCAGCGTAAAATTTGTGGTCTTTAAACCTGAAAGAAGAATGTGTGCAGCTGTAAACTAAACATGTTTATTTAGAGTTAACTTGACTATTGACTTAATTGAAAGATTCAAATCCTTTTATGAGCCAAAATGTTTTATAAATAAATACAAATGTATTCTGGTGTAAGTTCACCTTTTATAAGGTTACTACACAAAGTTTTATAAATGAGACCCCTGACACTGGGAAGAAAAAAATAAGCAAACAGAACCATATTTAAACATAATTGCCACAAAAAAATAAAAATTTCTTGGAGCTTCATCTGATTACAGTTCGTGGAATGTTTTGGCAATGTTTTTCTGGATTTTGATCGTCTTGTCATTGTTGCTGTCTATAGAGAATGAGAGAGAGCTTTCTGATTTCATCTAAAATACCTTAAGAATTTTCATTTTTGGGGTGAACTGTCCCTTTAAAAACAAACATGCCACTGCGAAACCGCTTGCTTAAAGAAAAACTTTTTTAATTGAAAAAGGCTCATTTGACAAGACTCCTAGGGTTAAACAATAAACTTGAACCATTTTTAAATCATTCAGATGATTTCTTGTTTTGGCAGGGTCACTTTTAGCTTGGCTTAGCATAGTGAATTAAACTGGATTAGGCCATTAGCATTTCGCTCAAAATGTTTTTAAAATCATTTTCTTTTTCAAGATTCTTTTTCCCCCATCGGCAGATTATTCTGCTTGTCTAAGGAAACCCTCTGTTAATTTTGATGCATTATTTCTGACAACAAGACCATATTTTTTGCTTGTCAAGAAAATGCTTCTCGATTTAAGAATTTTTTGATATTTGGACTAGAAACAAGACAAAAACTTTTTTTTTTGCAGTGTTAGAGCTCCTAAGGTAGATATAAATCCTCCTGAGATCCTCCTCTTTTCTTTTTTTTCTGGGATTTCCTACATACTTTGGGCTTAAAAAAAAAAAAACTACAATTTAAAGTTTTAAAATTTTGTTTTTATTTTTAATTTTACAGCATGTCCACTGTAGTGGACCACAGGACCGTTTTAGTTCCAAACAACCGCCACTCAGACAACAAAACTGTACAGCATATGTCTGTAAATGGATTTTAACCCAATATAAATGTAACAAAAACAAACAAACGCCATATTTTCCTTTTGTATTAAAATTCCTGAAACAGTTTAGTCTGAAAGAGAGCCAAGCTCAAAAAAAAAAAAAAAAAGTGATGTTAATCCAAAACAAATTTAACATAAAAGTGATTTAAAACTGATTGTCATTCTCTAATTGTCTGATTGTCAGACTGTAAATCAGAGTCTCTTATATTTTATAAAGAATCCTCTCTGCTTCAGTTCTGCCTCTCATAACATGCAGTCATTAATTACATTAAGATGGTCCTGGTGTCCACTATAGTGGACATTTAAAAAAGGATGATATTTTGAAACACAAACAAGTTAACAGCTTTGAAAGCTAAATGTATTGTTCCTGACACATTAATCAACAAATATATATGTATTAACAATAGTAAAAAACATTTAAAAAGCTACATTTTACATGCCTCTCTCCTTCCTATAAAATGCCCTTCCAGCCGCAACCCACTTCTGGGAAACATCCACACACACATTCACACACACACTCATACACTACGGACAATTTAGCCTACCCAATTCACCTGTACCGCATGTCTTTGGACTGTGGGGGAAACCGGAGCACCCGGAGGAAACCCACGCGAACGCAGGGAGAACATGCAAACTCCACACAGAAATGCCAACTGAGCAGAGGCTCGAATCAGCAACCTTCTTGCTGTGAGGCGACAGCACTACCTTTTGCGCCACTGCTCCGCCCTTATCCCAGTATCAAGCAGCCCTAATTTCTACATTGCTTTTTACAATGTAGATTGTGTCAAAGCAGCTGAACCGATGAAGAATAGAGTATATAAAAGACGTAATACTTCAATACTTCATTCCAGCAATTCTGGCAGGGTTGAGAGTAGTGTAGAATGCTGGTGTATTTCTAGTTCAATTAAAACGGCTTCAATTCGGATTAGTCTGAATTAATTTTATTCAATCATACAAGCTAAAAAGTGATGCTCATCAGAGCAAATTCTGTTTAAAATAAACAACGTGACATTAGAGTGAGCTTTCACGATTACCACTTTGTTCAAAAAGTTTATATAGGAAACAGGAAACTGATTAAAACTCTATTTCAAATATTTTGAGCGAAATGCTAATGGTCTAATCCGATTCAGTTCACTATGCTAAGCTAAGCTAAAAGTGACCCTGCCAGAAAAAGAAATCGGCTGAATAGATTCAAGTCAACATATAAATGTGTCTGAATGTAGAAGAAGCCTACTTCAGCAATGCACTGCTTTTGTTGTCCTCCGAATACAACATTTGAATGTTTGTAAAAAAAAAAAATATATATATATATATACATAAAAAAAGTCTATTGTACAATGCAATGATATTATGTAGTTTCAAAATACAATATATTAACATTTTAATGTAGAAAAAGCCAACATGGGTGTCTTAAGAAACAAAAATATACAGCATATGGGCTCTTGTATGCTGTTTTGTCATCATTCATATAGCAAGTCATATCTCTCCGGCCCTTCATTTGGAATGTTTTTCATGAACCGGCCCCCATGACAAACTAATTGAATAGCCCTGCTCTAGGAGACTTGTAAAATGAGGCTGTTCTTTCAAGCCAAACTTGCAAAGTTGGTTTTGATGTACATGCTTGATCACTGTATTATTATAATCTAACTCACACTTGAACTTATGTGGTAAAACTTACTCCGATATTAAATATACAAACTTTGGAAGCTTAAAATAACAGTTAAAGCAAGGGACGTTACATTTTAGACACATGCTTAATATGTTTGGCAGAAATTTGGGATTTTTGGACAGACTTTGGATAGAGGTTCTGCAATAAATGTACAGTATTGGAGAAATAATGTTTTTAAACTAACACTAATACTTACTAATAAACAAACAAAATGAACTAATTTCAAAATAACGCCTCACGATATCTTTAAAGTTAAACTTACCAAGTATATTTTCCTCTGTGGTTGGAGGAAGTTTGCTGCTCAGGTCTTCTTTGAGCTCATCTAAGAGTTTGTAGATGACTCTGTGTAATCTTAGAGAAATGCCCTTCTTTTCCGCCAGCTGCTGAATCGATTTGTGTGCCGAGACATTGAACCCATATATGATGCCTGAGCAGTGGAATAGATAAAGAGGGAATATAAGCAAATGATCCTAATTTTGACATTCTGACAAACAAATATCCATAAAATTGTATTAGTAAAAAACAAGAACCGTGTATATTTGTCTAAAAAATATATTTAATTGTGTATAATTTCACAATAAAGAAATAAAAATGAATAACTGTAATACAAAGCTGCTCATTGTCAAAAACATGAACCAACAAGTGGCGAAATATTAACAAAAGAAATAAATAATATTATTTTTATTTTTTATTTTTGCAGAATATCAAATATTCTTCAGTCAGGCAAATGGCCATTTTTACCTGATAAAGCATTTAAAGACATAAAGAAATAAATGTTGAGGAAATGTTTAATTTTTTTTTATGTGAACTATCCCTTTAAGGGTAATTAATTAATTGATTATTAGTTTTTACACATTATTTGAAATCTAGTTTTATCTTATTTTAAATTATGTTAATCTAACAGCCTAATTCTTTTTGGAAGTATGTGTTAATGTGATAATCTCCCTGATTGAGAATTTATTATTGATCTAAATGAATATGTGTTTAGTTATATACTGTATCAGTGGTTGGTTGTGGATTCCCACCTGAGAACGTCTCTGCCAGGTTAATGTCTTTTTCAGAGATGTCACCGACACCAAAATGTACCACGTCCAACAGACACTGGTCATCGGCATCGTAGCTTTCCAGGATGTTCAAAAGAGCCTCAACTGAGCCGTCGACATCACCTTAAAAACAAACAATCAAAATGTAGACAGTCACATGATTTGTACTTGCTGCATTCGGAGTCAGATTATTATCAATGATATTATTTCCAGATTCACTGTATCCATTTATAAGTGCATGTTAAAGAACTTATTGAAACATTCCTTATTATTTAAATGTTGGAAACAGCACTGCTGGAGAACAAGTGAGTAACTAATAGTTCTTACTGTACTTCCACGATGACTGATTATATAACAGAGTATATACAGAAATGCTAAAGGTAATTTCAATACCTTTTTAAGACTTTTTAAAGACCATCTCAGAATATTTTAAGGCCTCATTGCCACTTCAAGTTCAAATCAGTATCAAACCTTTAACTTAATAAACAGTTGTTAATTAACAGTTTTAGTTAAATAAATCAATTTTAAGACCCCGCTGATACTCTGATTAAAGTATTGCAAACATTTTTGTATAACGAGATTTTAAACATACAACAGGTCATTATTTCATTAAATATGCACTAATATGCATTGGATGAAGTCAGGTTGAGTAAGCAAAACAAAAGAAACACTGAAAACACTGAAAAAATAAAACTTTTCAGATGAAAAACATCAAATTTGAGGGCGTAGCACACTCCAAAAAATAGGTTTTTGTCTTGTTTCTAGTCCAAATATCTAAAAATTTATAAACCCAAGAAGCATTTTCTAGACGAGCAAAACAAAGTCGTGTTTTCAGAAATAATGTGTCATAGTTGAGTGAGTTTTTTCTTAAAACAAGCAAAATAACTTGCCTGGGGTAAGAAAAATAATCATCAAAGCGAAAACATTATTCTTTTTCAGATGACAGACTGGTCATTTTTGGGTTAAAACTGCTGGTTCCCTAACAGAGTAGACCATTTAACCATTTGTATTTATATAGAAGAGACTTGTCTAAAATGCCAACAGCCCCAGTAAAATCCATCATCTTACCTTTAATGATGATGGGCATCGTGAGCTCCTCGTTTTCGGTTCTCTCACTGGGTCTGTGGATGCCTTTGTGTTTGTTGGCCTTGTACAACGCTGCTCTCCTCTGTCTCCAGCTGAGATGAGCCAGGCTCTCCCTCTCCTTCTTATAAGTGTCATGATGCTGTTTCTGCTTGGCTTCAATCACCTGCTGCTCATCTTTCAGCTTGTCCTGCTCCTCCATGTAGCTCCGCCACTCCACCACCTCACGCGCCCTTTGCTGACAAAATATACCAGTACGGGGATTAGCTAATCATAACTACGATACAAAATAAATGTATAGTATAAGCGAAATCTAAATAACCAATGTTTGTATTACTAGCTCACAGTGTTATTCTTCAAACGAGTAATTAATCTGTGCCAGTTAAACCACTGAAAAAAAAATGTCTGGTTGGTATCCTTCAATCTAAAGTCTGACCATTTGCTTCCTTATTTGAAGTGACGGTCCTTCTGTTGACATCAACCAGAGGATTTCCATAGCAACTGTGAATCAATATCCTATCAAGCCACTCATATTAGTTTGCTATAAAAGATGCACAAAATGAAAGCCCCACCCCCTACTCAATAGTTGATCAATAACTGGCTTCTGTACTAGGAGGCGTGCATTGTTCGCCATATAGTGATCGATAATTGGCTCATGCTCTAGAAGGCGGGCTTTACTCACCATATATCGATCGATAATTGGCTCATGTTCTAGAAGGCGGGGTTTATTCACCATATAGAAATCGATAATTGCCTTCTGTACTAGAAGGCGGGCTTTAATCACCATATAGCGATTGATAATTGGCTCCTGTACTACAAGGCGGGCTTTATTCACCATATAGCGATCAATAATTGGCTCCTGTACTAGAAGGTGGGCTTTATTCACCATATAGCGATTGATAATTGGTTCCTGTACTAGAAGGCGAGCTTTATTCGCCATATAGCGATCGATAATTGGCTCATGCTCTAGAAGGCGGGCTTTATTCACCATATATCGATCGATAATTGGCTCCTGTACAAGAAGGTGGGCTTTATTCACCATATAACGAGCGATAATTGGCTCATGTTCTAGAAGGCGGGGTTTATTCACCATATAGAAATCGATAATTGCCTTCTGTACTAGAAGGCGGGCTTTAATCACCATATAGCGATTGATAATTGGCTCCTGTACTACAAGGCGGGCTTTATTCACCATATAGTGATCGATAATTGGCTCATGCTCTAGAAGGCGGGCTTTATTCACCATATATCGATCGATAATTGGCTTCTGTACAAGAAGGCGGGCTTTATTCACCATATAACAAGCGATAATTGGCTCATGTTCTAGAAGGCGGGGTTTATTCACCATATAGAAATCGATAATTGCCTTCTGTACTAGAAGGCGGGCTTTAATCACCATATAGCGATTGATAATTGGCTCCTGTACTACAAGGCGGGCTTTATTCACCATATAGCGATCGATAATTGGCTCCTGTACTAGAAGGTGGGCTTTATTCACCATATAGCGATTGATAATTGGTTCCTGTACTAGAAGGCGAGCTTTATTCGCCATATAGCGATCGATAATTGGCTCATGCTCTAGAAGGCGGGCTTTATTCACCATATATCGATCGATAATTGGCTCCTGTACAAGAAGGTGGGCTTTATTCACCATATAACGAGCGATAATTGGCTCATGTTCTAGAAGGCGGGGTTTATTCACCATATAGAAATCGATAATTGCCTTCTGTACTAGAAGGCGGGCTTTAATCACCATATAGCGATTGATAATTGGCTCCTGTACTACAAGGCGGGCTTTATTCACCATATAGTGATCGATAATTGGCTCATGCTCTAGAAGGCGGGCTTTATTCACCATATATCGATCGATAATTGGCTTCTGTACAAGAAGGCGGGCTTTATTCACCATATAACAAGCGATAATTGGCTCATGTTCTAGAAGGCGGGGTTTATTCACCATATAGAAATCGATAATTGCCTTCTATACTAGAAGGCGGGCTTTATTCACCATATAGCGATCAATAATTGGCTCCTGTACTAGAAGGTGGGCTTTATTCACCATATAGCGATTGATAATTGGTTCCTGTACTAGAAGGCGGGCTTTATTCGCCATATAGCGATCGATAATTGGCTCCTGTACTAGAAGGGATGCTTTATTCTCCATATAGCGATCGATAATTGGCTCCTGTACTAGAAGGCGGGCTTTATTCATCATATAGCGATCGATAATTGGCTCCTGTACTAGAAGGGATGCTTTATTCTCCATATAGCGATCGATAATTGGCTCATGTTCTAGAAGGCGGGCCTTATTCACCGTATAACGATCAATAATTGGCTCCTGTACTAGAAAGCGAGCTTTATTCACCATATAGCGATCGATAATTGGCTTATGTTCTAGAAGGTGGGCTTTATTCATCATATAACGATCGATAATTGACTCCTGTACTAGAAGGCAGGTTTTATTCACCATATAGCGAGCGATAATAGACTCCTGTACTAGAAGGCGGTGCTTCCTCTCCAACTGTGAATCAATATCCTATCGCGCCACTCATATTAGTTTGCTGTTAAAGATGCACAAAAAGAAAGCCCCACCCCAAATTCAATATTCTGTTTTGAGTTGAAAGTACATCAACATACTAAGACATTTTTGGTTGACGCAGACTAAACAAAAACACACGTAAATGATAAATTACCATACAGACTCAACATAGCATATCCTGCGATGTGACTATTGTGAATGATCACACTGATGCTGTAACGATATATTGTGAAGCCTTGCACAAGTGAATAATATATCCTTTAGCACTCATGCAGAGTACCTCTGATTCCACCTCCAGGATCTCCTCTCCAGCAGAGGGCAGATCTTTCCAGCCCACGATCTCCACAGCGATGCTGGGTCCGGCTTCTTTCACTGCCTGGTTGTTCTCATCAAACATGAAGCGCACCTTCGCCCAGCACTTTCCTGCCACCAGAGTACAGCCCTTCCTCAGAGTGCCTCGCTGAATGATGGCGGTGGTGACGGGTCTGAGCAAACACAAACACAAACCTTCATCACACAGTAAGAACTATGTAATAACTAAGTAAAGTCAGACTGAATATGCTATTATTGCACAGAATTTTGTAAAAAAAAAAACGATTATGAGAGTTTAGTAACTAAAAACGTAAAACATTAAGGAAAAATATAATCCCTCTGTAACTTTTATGTAGGGTTTACAATGCAAATCTAACTAGATCCACTTGTTTGGTATACAAAGCAAGTCTCTCATTTATTTAATCTACTAAAAGACATGAAAATAATACTTTGCATATTAGTTAATCATATTACTGAAATTAATATAAATGTTACACACAATGTAAATTCTACATTTACAGCCATATCACCCTGCAGCCCAAGACCGGTTACTCACTGAAGCTAGGCAGGGCTGAGCCTGGTCGTTACCTGGATGGGAGACCACATGAGAAAACTAGATTGCTGTTGGAGGTGGTGTTAGTGAGGCCAGCAGGGGGTGCTCAATCTGTGGTCTGTGTGAGTCTCAATGCCCCAGTATGGTGAAAGGGACACCATACTGTCATTGAGCACCATCTTCCAGATGAGACGTTTAACCAAGGTCCCGACTTTCTGTGGTCATTAAAAATACCATGGCACTTTTCGTCAAGTGGACAAATTGGTCAAATTCCCTCTATCGGCTCTCACCCATCATGGCCTCCCAATCCTCCTCATCCACTGAACTGGCTGCATCACTGTCTCTCCACGCCACCAATAGCTGGTGTTTGGTGCCGTTGTCCTGTGGCTGCCGTCACATCATCCAAGTGGATGCTGCACACTGGTGGTGGTGTGGAGAGACCCTCCACCAATTGTTGTGAAGCACTTTGGGTGTTTGTTTGGCCATACACAATAAATGCACTACATAAATTCACATTACAGTAAAATGAAGCTTGAGAAAATATTATGTATTGTTATCATGGCAGAGATGAAATCATTTAGCTATTAGAAATGAAACAAACTTATGTTTAAAAATGTGTTGGAAATAATAATCTCTATGTCAAACTTGGGATACATTTGTGAAGGAGTAAAAGTTCCTTTACTCTTAATATCATTCAGCATTTGTAAATTCCCTGTTATTATTATTTTACAAAACTTACCTCTATATACCATTTTGAGAAATGCAAACAGTAACAATAGTCCTGTAACAGTAATTTCCATAGCTTCTGAGAGTATAAAAAGTTCCACAATTTGATAAATACTGTTACGATAGCTGTTATAACATTATCTTAGGATTGAATCGTCTCTTCTTACAGATATTTTGACAACAAGCAGGAAATATTCATAGGCCAGTGACATCACATTGAAATGGTCTATAATGGTGTTTCTTGTTTACAACTCACCCTTTGCCTTTGTCCGTCCGGCTCTCGATAACTGATCCTTCTACCAGTCCTGTGGGGTCACCTTTCAGCTCCAAAACCTCTGCCAGCGTCACTGTGGCTTCAGCCAGCTCCAATAAATTGTCCCCCTGCATAAAACTTACATGTAAATTGCTGCCATTTCATAATACCAGAATAATCCGAATTTAACGAGATATAGCATTTCAAAATAAAAGTACACATGAAATTAAAAGTCTGGTAGGTTGTAATACCTCTCCCCAAACCCTTTTCCCAATTTTTCTAAATTAAATGCCTACTTTACTACATACAATCAGCTCGCAGTAAAAAAAAAAAAAAGCCACGTCCACCGTTTTCTTATTTAATATTCTGTTTCTCTAGGAACTGCATCACAATACAGTTTCTGTACCTTTAATGCAGACACATGGATGGCCTGTATTTCTCCACCAAGGTCTTCACAGATGACATCATGACCCGCAAGCTCCTGTTTCACACGCTGAGGATCAGCCTGAGGTTTATCACACTTATTGACAGCGACGATGATGGGCACTGAAGACCGAAACACACAGAATATACACTTAATTATTAAGCCATTAAAGGTCCTGTGAAATTAAAATAGAATTTTTTAGATGTTAGTTTCAGTCAAGGATATCTTTATGCTAGTGGGCTCCATAACGAAAAACATTTGCATTCAGAAAATATAAAACTGATATAAACATCCAAAGCTTACAGTTTGTCACTTCTGCCTTGTCCGAATTAGTTTTTTTCACATCATCTCATACTTCAGTTTCTCATCAAATCTTGACCAATCGAATGCTCTCGATGTCTGACATGCCCCGCCCCCTTCAAGACACTTCTCATTTGCTTTTCATTTGAAGCGCTTGAGCTCAGCCACTCCCAGTGGTAGACCTGTAATAAAACTAAAATGCTATTGGCTTTTTTTTAAAAGGGGAGGAGCTACTCTATGTCTATTCACCCTATTCTTCACCAACGAGCAGGAACATGCCATTTGAATCTTTTTCGCTCGAGTCTTCCGGTCTCATTCATTTTTAGACATTAAAAATGGCAAGTTTTGCTGTTTGATGTTGCAAACTGATATTTCCGTATTGTATGTAGAGCAAGTAGTTTGACCGTTTTCTGCTGTTTATTATTCATAGTCATTTCTCCCATAGGCGACTGAATCGGAAGTTCTAAAACAATCGCGAAAACAGGCGCACTTCCACATTTCAGAATAAGGTCAATAGCTGCATCCCAAATGGCACATATGCACTTATGGACTTACACACTCAAAAGCATAGTATATGTATGTAGTGTCGTCCAAAATGGAAAACTAATGTTTTTTTTACTAAGCAGAAATTCAACCCGTTCCACAGTGATGTTTGACAGTTGCCAAATTAGTGAAATAAATGAACAAAGTACCAATTAATACCTGCCGTGAGTATTACCGCATTCTGCATCGGGAGGCTCTACAATCACTCTAGTAGACGAATTTTGCTTTCACAATCCAAAATGAATAAAGTTATCCAACATGTGAGCCTGATACATAGATATATACATTAGATGTCACCTAGCCTGTTATTGTCTATTGGAAGGAATGCGTCAATAGAGCCGCCATTTTACTACAGGGTAGCGCTCCATTAAAATGAATTCGGGACCGAGGTACAGTGGAGGACTGTGGCCATTTAAAGCCAGATATATACACATATACACATATATCCATGATCGGGAGTTTTCCTGGATGTTAGTATGCAATTTTTTTTTTTAATTACGAAAATTATCATTTTACATCACTTTTCTACATTGATGGATCACTGATCGCACTGGCATTCCTGATAAAAAGCTTGTGTTTGTGTGTATGGAAATGTACTATCCACCCTCCCTGTTAAATCTGATCTAATCATGTCCTGAAACACAGCTCCTCTCCTGCTTTCACTTCTCATACTGACGGAGGGAGCGATTCGTTTGTGAATGAATCTCCGTTATGAACGACTCGTCCACTAACCGACAATAATACATATAACATATATTTATTTTGCATTGTTTGCTGATTTTATTCAACAAAACTTGCATAAGCCGAGTATTTAGTGTGAGTTGGAGCTACTTTGACTTATAGTGAATGCAGTAAGTGACTGCATTTTCATCAATAACGCTACTGTATAGCACAAAAGTTCAGAACATACAAAAACATTAAAAAAACTTAATCTTACCTATGAAATGTTCTGCCTTAGTGCTTTGTTTTCTTTGTTTGCTCGTTACTACACCCGTAGACAGCGCTAAAGTCCCGCATCTTCACGTAATAACACTGTCTTGTCTAGTGCGGTTGCAGGACATTTGTCCTGGGAGCACTGTACCAATGTGGCGGCGCTATTGACGCATGCTCAGGGTCCCTATGTGATATCTAGTGAATATATCTATGAGCCTGATATAGCTCCACCCCTTTCACTACACGAGCAAAGCTGCGGTCGTTGAGTGTGTGAAGTGTCCATCATTACACACGTCATTTTACCGGTCGAATGAGTGCATCATCCGGCTAATTAAAGTGTACTTATAATTTTTGAGTTTTCAGTGTGAACGCGCTATTTACACTATTAAATTACAAAATGGCATAGAATAGTGCATAAGTATGCGATTTAGGATGCACCTTATGTACAAGTTTACGTCAAACATCAAATAAAATAAAAAAACGCACATTTCAAGGAACTTCACAGGACCTTAAACGAAAAATTATTGGTAACACTTTATTTCAATGGTCTGTTTGAGTATTAGTAGACTGCTTAATATGTTGATACTGCTCCCTCAACAGACACTTAACTGACTGTAAGAAACTTAAGGCTGATTTATACTTCTGCGTCAAACGCACACATATGCTAGGGTGCTGACGCACAGCCCTTCGCCGTGGCCGTCGGCGTCACTAAAGTGCGCCTCTCAAAAAATGTAACTACACGTCGCAACGACGCGTAGCACAAGCTCTGTGATTGGTCGGCTTGGTAGCACTGATGAGTCTGGGCGGGACCAAGAACCGAGCGAATGGCGGGAGCCCGATGGAACGATTGTTTACAATTGTGGAGTCCCGTGAAGGAGCTCCAGATGGAAAGTTTTGTTTTGTGTTTACATCAAAGTTAAAGTTGTTGCACGTCCGCCGGTTCCTGCCTCAAAATGAGTGAGTGTGAGCCACTTGTACATCCAGGAAGTGTTTAGGAAAAGCAAAACAGCAGCGCAGAAACTCGACACAGAGGAACATTTATACCTCACTGCCAACTAGCGTTTCGGAAGTGTTAATGCAGGCCAACAGAGACAGCGCGCAGAAGTATAAATGCACAGCTATGCGCGTTGCATGCGCCATGGGTCACGCCGATCACTTGACGCAGAAGTATAAACCAGGCTTTACAGCTTACACGAACCCTAACCTAACAGTCTACTTATAATCTAATGAGAATTAGTTGACATGTAGATGCAATGTAACATAATTCAACAAATAGACAAATACATGCAAATAACAGTATGATTACATCTGCTGAGATTGTAATTCTCATCAACATCTTTATCCTGCAGGCTACCTTTGGCTTTTTTGGCGAGCTCTATGGACTCAATGGTCTGTTTCATCACACCATCATCAGCTGCGACCACCAGGATGACGATATCTGTGATCATTGTTCCTCGCGCTCGCATGGCAGAAAACGCTGCATGGCCAGGTGTGTCCAGAAAGGTGATCTTCTCACCGGAAGGTAGCTCCACTGCACAGGAGACATAGAAGGCATTTAATTAGCATCAGAAACATACACACTGGAGGAAAAAAACAATACTACGGACGTCAATGGTTACAGGTTTCCAACATTCTTCAAAATATCTTCTATTGTGCTGAACCGAAAAAAATTGTAGTGAAGGGTGGGTAATTGATGACAGAATTTTCAATCCCACTTATAATAAGTATCCATAACTAATATGCACTTACAATGAATAAATCGTTAGAATGTACTTATTGTGTAAATACATGTTTTTACATTGTACTTATGGTGGATTAATTACCTGCATGTAATTACATCTGTAATTAATTTCTGTAATTACATTTATAATTACACTGCTGATGATTCCTTACACCTTAACCCACCCTTAAATCTGTCCAAAACTTTCCCTAACCGTACCCGTATCCCACCTTCATATCACCATAAGTGTTCTGCAATACATAATGAACACATTAAGTACATGGTATTTATATTTTGAAGTAGGTATATAGTAGTTAAGGACACTTAATATAAAGAGGGACTGAATTTTTAGTCCCTTTTAAGCAAAAAAATCTAATATGCAATGGATCTATTGAGAAGTCTGATACCCCGAAAGGCTCCGATGTGTTGTGTGATGCCGCCAGCCTCCTGTGCCACAATCTGGCTCTTCCTCAGACTGTCCAGCAGGGTGGTCTTTCCATGGTCTATATGGCCCATGATGGTCACCACTGGAGCCCGAGTGACCAACTGAGCCGGATCTGGAGGAGGTCTGAAAACAATTTAGAATGGTTTACTCACCCTTAAATGGTTATAAACCTTTATAAGTGTATTTTTTTTCTGTATTCTGAAGAAAGCTGAAAACCTGTAATCATTGACTTTCTTAGAAACAAATAATAAGGAAGTCAATGGTTACAGGTTTCCAGCATTTTTAAAAATATCTACTTTTTTTGTTCAACAGAAAAAAAAAAGAAACTCATAAAGCTTTAGAGCCACTTGAGGCGTGTTTTCAACTCATGAAGGTTTTGAACAAACCTCTCGACTGTGAGTAAATTGTCATCTTTGAGTGAGCTGTCCCTTTAAGGCAGCTGTATTATTGAAATGACACTCACTGTCTCTGGATATCTTTGTTTTCTCTGACTTTGGTTTCCACCAGCTTTGCCCATCTGTATTTCATCCCTGACCTCTTGACT